AGCAACCGTAGAACGCATGCGTGCTCAGCGTTGCCAAACTTACTATTTTAGCAGTAGATCTACTGTTTTTGTCTCCGTTCTACTGTTCAACTATTCAAGGCAATGGTCTGATTGGTCATGTTTTGATATATGACATAACTACCTAATATGCAACAATGAAAAATTTATGAGACATCACAGTAAGAAGACGTATGATGAAACTATTATATTCAGTCTGATTAGTAAAAATAAGCTTTTATTTTCGATCTGGTGGCGGTTTATACAAATTTTATTTTTGATTTCATTATTGTTTGTTATTCTTCGTTCGATTTTCAACAGGTGTAGAGACTGAACATAATTTTTTTTTCGTTTACTATATAGGTGACTATGTTTTTTCATTTATGATAGCAAATTGTGATGATTATCAAAATCTTCTGTTCAGTTTTGATAATCTACTGTTTTTTCCTCACCCATCTACTGCTCCGACAAATTTTCATCTGGCAACACTGTGCGTGTTACGTGAAACGAAAACGTAAGATGACGGAAAATGGGAAGATGGCGTCCGTTTTCGGGTTATTTGACTGTAAAAGCAGTGAATGAGTGAAATCTTTGCGGATATCATCTATATCAACTGGTGAACTTCGATCTCGACCATCGAGATGTTTTGTGCTAACAGCAACATGAAGGCAAGTATGGCTATCGACGTTATCGTTTTATTTTCATTCGCTTGAAGGTGCTTGGGTAAGAACATCAAATCTGGAGTTGAAAACATTAGATACCTTTCTATATAATTTGATCTCATGCAAAGCTCTAACCTTATCCTATTTCCATCATCTACAAAAGTTTATATTTCCATCATCTACAAAAGTTTATATTTTTGTGTATAGTTAAAACATAATATATTTCGTGCAAGGTTCATAGAGGTTATATAGGTACCTACCTATGAATCAGTTTATGTTTGGAATAAGTTCTCAATGAGATAAAAATAATGAAGTATTCAGCTATACTGACTACTACACGTTGAAAGTGAGTGTGTGTTTATAGTTTTATGGTATTCACAGAAGATGTTATTGAATATTATCATTATTTACAGATCCAGTGAAGTAGACAACAGAAGGCTGCCAATCAGAAAAAGACATCATCGCGCCAGCGTAACTGGATGAATCACGCGACGTTTTTAGTGGTGCAGCTGCTGATATACGATATGGAAGAGTGAAATTGAAACAACTACCTAAATCTCTGTTCATATTATTGTTTGCGAATAAATGTTTACTAATATTCAAATATTTCACTCTCCAGATGGGTCAGAAAATGAATAATCAATATTATCTGAATGTCCTGCTCAATACGTCCATTTTTCATACCAGAAAGGTCCTAGTCTGGACCTTAACTGGACGTCCCCAAAACATCCTGATTAGTAGGAATGGACGTCCTCAAAACGCCCTGAATGTCCAGAGTGGACGTTTTCAAAACGCCCATAAGACGTACTTGTGCTGATTGGGGTACGATATATCATTGGATGTTCTACTAGAAACATCCCATTTGATCTTTTTTTTATAAATAATATCATGTTCCCGTATTTGCTAATGATGATTGACATCATTCAACAGTTCAAACAATTGTGACATTTGAAACATTGAAAATTTGGTAAGAAATGGAAATCAAAACTGTATTCGTACTCATATAATTATACCTATACCAAAGCCGGCTAATTTCATCGATAACAAATTGAAATAATTATACTAATTATTCCTCAATAAGATAACCAGAGTACCTGCTTAACTTCGTGAACCATGTAATAAACGTCTAAATTGAAATATATTCTTCAGCATATTTATTGCTAAATTTATTTGTTAAACCAGCCGATAGATGGCGGTACAACTACGTTGCTAAGAGTTACTAACAACCGTCGGCCCATCGCCAACAAATATGAGCCTCAAACAACTGTTATCATCTTCCATTAGTTATTGGACCGCACCGAATTTATATTTTCGGTTTCGGATTACTTTATATCTGGAAATAGGTCGGCCATTTTCAGGATTTGAGATTGAAAATAATTCATATCGTGTCATCCATTACTGTCATCAAACAAAAAACATCCTGAAAGTTTCTTTGAGATGTTCGATATCAAGTACCCTGAATGTCTCTAGTACATCCCGTATCATTCCACAAACATTCTGATGGGATGTTTATGAGACATCGCAAATGCTGACACGGGTATTGCCAGCAACATCCCAAGAATGTCCCAAGGAAAATAGGGATTTCCCAGAGATGTTCCTATCATCCCATATGGATGTTTCTACGACGTCTTACAGATGTTATTGTGTTATTAGGGATAAAACGTGGTTTTGATATGGTCTGAGAAACATGGACGTCGTTGCAACGTCATGAAACTGACGTCCCATTTCAACTTTTGAGGTAACTGTAAAGAAATGGCGGCCCCGTCGGGCGACGTGAAAGATGCTCTCATAGTAACTGAAGAAACTTTCAAAGATAAATCTTTTAAATGTTGTCAAACTAAAACTAATAAGACCCTAACCTGTGTAGTATGTGGAAATAGTTACCATCTATCATGTGCTGCAAAAAATAAGCTAAAATGCATAAAAATATGTGACAGCAGAATAAACTGTTGTGATTCGAAGCAAGGTGCCAGTGAAGTAGAAAAACTAAGGATGGAAAACAATATGCTGAAACAAATCCTGAAAGAAAAGGAAGATAAGTACAATTTACTACTTGATAATACCAAACTATTGCAAATAAACAGCAACTTATTACAAGATAGAATCAGTTCATTACAATTGGAACTCAACAAAAAACCCATTGCGAATAAAAAAACCCAATATGCTGATAAGGTGAAAGCACAAACGCATATGAACTCGAACAAGAAAGAAGAAAACAACTTTTTGCAAGGGGATTCCAGTGCGATGATGAATATAAACAACCCATTGACATTGGATATCCCAAAAGAAAATAAATCAACAGGAAAAACTCTGAAAACTATTGAGGACCTTCAAATGAACAAAATGAAAGAGGTGATACACTTAGAAAACGACATTGAAAATGAAAATGAAGAGAATGGCATGAAATATGTAACTAACCAGAGAAGAGATAAAAAAAGGAACAATAATAGGAGGCCAGCTAATAATTTTGGAGAAAACGACTGTGACAGTGATTTCGGGGTAGAAAGGAAGATTTGGTTGTATCTGTATAGAATTAAAAGGAGTGTAACCTCTGAAAAAATAAGAGAATATATAGAAAAATTAGATAGCTTCAAAGAAGCAGAAATAGTAGTAAAAGAATTGCCGACTAACGAGAATCAGAATAAATGCTTTATGTTTGGTATAAACGAACGATTCAAAGAAGATATTTATAAGCAATCAACCTGGCCCAGGAGCATGGCATTCAAGCGATTCGACTTTAATAAATACAACCAGTACTGGAGAAGTCAGGATTTTTAACTTCACAAAAATCGAAGGGATCAAAAAATATCAGTTTAATACACCAAAACATCCAATCAATAGGAAATAGCGTAGATGGACTGAATATGTTACTAGATGAACACTGTGACTGTCACATTCTAGCAGTGACAGAACATTGGAAATCTGAATGGCAATTGAAACTATATGGGATAAGAAATTTCGCGCTGGCTTCTTACTACTGTCGTAGTGAAAACGAACACGGAGGGGCAGCTATCTATGTGAAAAACGGAATAAACTACAAAGTACTGAAGAACATAAATAGTTTGTCTAAGCGAGACGTATTTGAGTGTGCTGCAATTGAATGTTCAATAGAAAGTGATAAATATATAATTGTGAGCATTTATAGAACGCCCAAGAATGAAAATTTGGATGAGTTTTACAATAAACTAGAAGAACTTCTTGAAAAAGTATCACTGGAAAATATTCCAGCCTTTATAGCAGGTGACTTTAATATAGAATTGAAGGATACTGAACACAATATCACAAGAATGAATTTTCTACTAAATTCCTACTCTTTTTGTTTCACGATTCATGAATATACTAGAATAACCTCAAAATCAAAAAAATGTATAGATAATATCTTGACAAATTTTGACGGGGACTATAGCACGAAGATCATAAACTCTACCATTTCTGATCATACTGCACAAAAAATCAGTTTTATAACAAACGAAACAACTTTACCATCCCAAAAATATGTAAGAATCTTTTCGAATGACAATAAGGACATATTCATTGAAAAATTAAAAGATCAAGATTGGGAGATTGTACATAGTTTTAGCGAGAATGATGTAAATAAACAATGGAATGCTTTCATTGACACATATTTGAAAATATTTTATGAGTGTTTTCCATTAAAACTGGTTCAAGAGAAACACACTAAAGCTGTGCGATATGATACAGAAACGGAAGAATATAGAGAAAAACTGAATACAATGCTTCTCCTATCAAAGACCCACCAAAATTTCAAAGCTATATACAATGAAATGAAAAAGGAATATAATCAGCTATTAGCAAAAAAAAGGGGAGATTTCTACCTGTCAAAAATTAATCAGTCCGATAACAAAATGAAGTGCATGTGGAATATTCGTCGGTGATTCGGCAAAAGCACGTATCCGACAAAATATTCGAATTTGAGGTTTTGGTGTCATTTGACAGCTAACCTCATCGCGCGCATACTGGCAAAATATCATAAACGACAAAAAATTTTTGGCGGTTCAATTTAACGAAAAACAAAAACACGTATCTGATTCGGGAAAAATGTATATGCAAAAACACGTATCTGTATAGAATCATATAGAATCCAATGGTGTTGTTGATGGTCGTGTGTTAGTGCAACGAATAAACGTGGTAAGTGGTCACAGTTAATTTTATTAATTCTGCTCATAGCTTCTCAACCAGTCAATGTACAATAAATGCAGAGATAGACAGTCAATTGATGATTATATTTGGAAATACAACAGTATTTCGAACATTTAGCTGATAGGTGTTTTTGCATGTATCAATGTAGTCTCGTTACTTACAGATACGAGTTTTTGCATCATGGAATGGAACAAACCTTTAACCCAAAAACAATTAGAGGACCTAATCGATGATGAATCGTTTATCGATTTCGAAAAAGATTCACAAGATAGCATTGATACATCTACTGAAGATAAAGAAAATTGTTCAGATGAGCATTTGAATCCAGAAACACTGTATGATGTTGATAAGAATTGCAGTGATGATCAACTATTAGCTGCTGCTAAAGCAACTGAAGACCTTCTGCTTCATATGGACAGTAATGATGTTACTGATGTTACTAGAAGTATTGAAGACTCTGCTGAAATAAGATCACCACGAATTCAAGCTCATGAAAAAAAATCTGATCATGATGAGCACGACTACAATATGGAAGAACCTATGGATTCTAGTCAGAGAAATAATATAACTGAAGCAGCAAACAATGGAGAAAATGAAGAAGAGAGACATTCAGGAGGAACAGCAACAAGTTCAAACAATGGAGACAATGAAGAAGAGGAAAACTTTTCAGAAGAAACAGCAACAGATTCAAGTAATGAAGAAAATGAAGAGGAGATAAATCAATCCGAAGAGACAGCGACTGGTTCGACCACGCCAAGTGAAAAAAAAATGTTGCAGTCTAAGTGTGCTCGAGAAAAATATAGATATTACAGAGAAAAGGGAAAGAAGTACAAAGGTTACAAAAAAGATAATGGAAAATTCTCTGCGACAATTGATCGACCAAGGAGAGTGATGCTTCCAAAATGCAGTTCCAAACTGTGCATGATAGCAAAAAATCGCCATTGCTCTGAATTCAGTGAAATAATAAGACAAACAATATTCGATAAGTTCTGGACCTTGACATGGGACATGAAGAAAACTTATGTTTCTACACTTATTGACGTTAAGGAAACTAAACGTCCTATCACCGAAAATTCTAGAAGAGCGCATTCCTTTGAGTATCATTTGAAATATCGTACAAAAATCTTACAAGTTTGTAGGAAGACTTTTTTAAACACTTTGGGTTTAAAAGAGAGCATGGTACATAAGTGGTGTATCAAAGCTGAGTCGGGCATGCATATCGGGAAGGATGACATAAATCTACCCCTGAGAAGAAGAATAACGGAGGGCAAAGCATCATCCCTGAAAGCAATGACAGATTTTCTGAAATCTATACCTAAAATGGAGTCGCACTACTGTCGCTCAAGTACTTCTAAACTTTATGTTGAACCCATTTATCAGAGTAAAATGGATCTTTACCGTGCTTATAAAATATATTGTCAAGATATGGTAGTAGAGCCAGTGAAACCTTCAAGATTCAAGAAGGAAATGGATAATCTGAATATCGCGATTCATTCTCCAAAAAAAGACCAATGTGACTTGTGTGTTGGTTATCAAACAAAAAATATAGATGAGGAAGTGTATCAGTCTCACATCAGACGAAAAAATGAAGCCAGGGATGCAAAAAGTGAAGACAAGGCGTTGGCTCAAGGAAATCCAGAAGAGATAGCGGTAATGACAATGGATGTTCAAGCGGTCAAATTGGCACCACTATTACAAGCTTCAGCAATTTATTTCAAGACCAAACTATGTGTCCATAATTTTACAATGTATGACTTGGTTACTAAAGATTGTCATTGCTACTTATGGCATGAAGCCGAGGGAGGGTTAGAAGCAAACATTTTTTGTTCTATTATCTATAAACACCTCCTGAATTACTTGGATCATAATCCAAGAACGAAGAGGATAATTTTATATAGCGATGGCTGCGGCTATCAAAATCGGAATAATTGCTTGGCCAATACTATTCTGCATATTGCCGATACTAGGAAAATTGTTATCGAACAAAAATTTCTCGAGAAGGGACATACGCAGATGGAGGTCGATGGGGCTCATAGTCTGATAGAAAGAAAACTCAAAAATCAAGTTATAAATCTGCCTTCTGACTATATTAGGTTTTGTGAATCAGCTCGACAGACTAAACCTTTTAAGGTCCATTACTTGAGTAATGAATACTTCTTGAACTTCTCAGCCATAACATATTACAATACCATTCGACCTGGAATAAGGAGATTAGATCCAGTGATAGCTGATATCCGTTGCCTCAAATATGAGAACACGGACATAAGTTTCAAACTTAATCATACAGATGAATATAAGTTATTACGAAACAAATCTAAAATAAATACGAAGGAAATCACAAAATTGTACAAGGGAAATCTGAAAATCAAGAAAGAGAAGTGGAATCATCTGCAGGCTCTCAAGTCTGTTTTACCAAAAGACACGCACTCATTCTATGATTCACTGCAATATCAGAATTAATTATTATGATCTATCATTTTTTATCTATTATGAAGGGTTATTATTATTTTCATAACATTTGAGTACCAATTCATTGTTGAATTAATAATGTACTCACTAAAGTTTTATTTGGTCATTTCGTGTTTTATTGATAGTTCTTGATAACCAGAAGCCTTTCAATAGTAGTATTTTGACTCCCTCCTACCTATATCATTTATTTATTTCAAAATATCAACATACGAAAATTCATTTCGTGAGTGATCTGATGAAAAATAAGGATTAGAACCACTTCTTGTATATCTATGTATGTATTGCAAAACCACGTATCTGTAAAAAATCTTGAAGCAAAATCAAGTATCTGACATATACAAAAAAAAATCAAAATTTTTCCCTGAATATCGATGTAAATCGAGTATTTGATTTTTTTACAATTCATATTCGGAATACTGGAATGTCACCACGTTTTTTCCACATTATATACAGTTTTATTGCTCTCCTGTAAAATTTGCTTTTAGTCAGATACGTGCTTTTGCCAAATCACCAAATACATAATGAAATAGTAGGCAAAATTAAACAAAACGATTCACTTTTCGAAGGAAACCCAACAATAAATGCTAATAAGTATAATGAATTTCTATTGAAGGTCATTCCTGAACTAATTGATAAATTGGAAAAAACTAATTTCACATGTAGTATTTCAAATAATGTACAGTCAATGTTTCTTCAACCTATAACAGAAGATGAACTAGGTAGATTGGGACAAAAAATAAAGAACAAGCATACATGTGGTGATGACGAAATACCAATAAGTCTTATGAAATTATGCATAGACCCAATCGCTGGTATTATGTGCTATATCATTAATAATTCATTCAAATATGGGATTTTCCCACAACAACTCAAAGTAGCTCTAGTGACACCCATTTATAAAAAAGGAGATCGTGAATTATTTGAAAACCACCGACCTATAAGTGTTCTTCCCTCATTTTCAAAACTCTTTGAGATGGCCATGTGCGACAGACTCATGGATTTCATGAAACACTGTAATCTCTTGAACTCTGTTCAGCATGGGTATATCAAAGGAAGGTCAGTGGAAACAGCAACTATACAGTTCACAGAAATGATTGTTGACTCATTTGAAAAAAACGAAATACTACTAGGAATATTTCTAGATTTATCCAAGGCTTATGACTGCTTAAATCATGAATACCTATTATTCAAACTGGAAAGATACGGAATTCGCGGAAATGTATTAGATTGGTTCAAATCATACCTATCCGAACGCCAACAAAGAACAAAAATAATAAAGCATGGACAAACTTACAAGTCAGATATAAGAATGAATAATATAGGTATTCCACAAGGAAGTATAACTGGTCCTGTTCTATTCATAATCTTCATGAATGACATTCTGGAAATTTTGAATACTGAAGAAAATGCATGTCAGATTACTAATTATGCTGATGACACTAATCTTTTAGTGTCAAGCACAAATTACCCAAATTTACTTGAAAAAGCAGATCATCTAATGAGTAGAACAGAAAGCTGGTTCACGAAAAACAATTTGATTTTAAATGTAGACAAAACAAACATCATACTATTCAGAACACCACAACAAAGAATTGAAACTCCACAAACAATAGAATTATTGAATAAAAAAATGGATGTACAAAACTCAACCAAATTTTTGGGTATTCATATAAATGAACATCTGCGTTGGCATACACATATCATAAATATGGGGAAGAAATTGAACCAAATATGCTACTCCATCAGGATTATAAGTAAATATCTAAATGAAATTTCAATGAAAATCATGTACTTCTCGAATTTTGAATCAACAGCAAAATTTGGAATAATATTTTGGGGAAGCCATAGTAACATAGCGGATATTTTTTGCATCCAAAAGAGAACAATGAGACTTATTTTCAAAATTAAGTATGGTCAATCCTGTCGAGGTTTGTTCAAAGCGAAAAGCATCCTGACAATATATGCACTTTATATTTATGAATGTGTAGTCTACTTATTCAAGAATAAAAGCAAACTGTCAGTATCTGGTGGAAACCACTCATATCCAACACGTAGCACAAACATAAGTTACCCCATACATAGATTGACACTCACTGAAAAACACCCATCATATGCAGCTTTGAAGTTTTTTAATAGATTACCTGATTGTATCAAAACATGCGAAAGTCTCAACAAATTTAAAAAAAGTGTTAGAAGCTTTCTAATACATTTAGAACCCTATTCAATTCATGAATATTTTAATGTGTAACATCTAAATGTGTAATATTTATTTTCCATGTACAAAATACGTTGACGTTGTTTCGTTTAATGTTTTTCTTTTGTCTTTTCTGTAAAATATGTAAAACATTCTCCGAAATATATATTATTATTATTATTATTATTATTATTATTATTATTATTATTATTATTATTAACGTTCACTCGGCGTCGAGATGATGACGTGAATCTCACGTCATAGGAAGAACGTCATAGTGACGTCATAAATTGGTATGTGACGTCTCTGACGAAAAATCACCAATTAGGGACGTCACAGTGATCGTGACGTGATCATTCGTCATATGGTTGCCTGGGACCAGATGGGTCAATTCCTGAAGGTGACATTGACGCACTCGTGCTGAAACATCCTGGAATCAAAGTTGAAATAGATGAAAACTGTGCAGATATAGTTTATTAGCGAATTCCATTGGAAAAGCTGGCTCGCACTGAGTGCATATTTTGTATTCCTTCGGTAAAACTGGTGTCGGGTTCTGAATTCCATTGGAAAACTGGTTCACATAGTTCAGAGCTCAGTGCAAAAATTCTCGCACGAGCTCTATTAGGTCGTGCGAATAAGTCAGTGCAGTTTTGAAAATGGCGGAAACATTGAATATGCATAGTTTAAAAAACAAAATTGCGTGGCAATCTAATCATCATCATCAAGTAGTGATGAAAATTCGGAGGTTTCAAGAAAATAAAGGAGACTACTTCCCATGATTCATAATTTTGTTGAGTGTTTTGCACTAGAATTCAATGATGAAGAGGTTCTTATTGAAAAAAAAACTCCTCAGAATTATTTCCAATTTGTTTTCAATTGAAGACAAGAAAGAATTTCAGGATACGGACAAGTTATGAACAATGACAAACCAATTTATCCGATTTAACCTCCAACAATTTTATTTTATTATATTATTTCGTATTTCATTGGGAATGCACCAGTTCACATTTTGGAGAGAACCAACGTAGTGCGGGTGCAAAACTGGTGCAAAACCAGTGCACCACCAGGTTTACGAATGGAATTCGCTATATGACTCGATGAACTTCACGCAAACTTTGAATATTCACAGTCTAGACATAGAAAATCTAAATTTGTCAGGATTGGACGAACAACTGGGCACAATTTTGGAAGAAGTCCTGAAAACTGATGCAAAATCGCAAACGCTATCATCCGCTATCACTACTGGAAAGTTGAAAATAGTCTTACGTGATATGCAACCATCAGTTGCATATCGCCCACACGCCATCTTTTATACAATGAACGCTTGCAAGTGAAGAAAATCATCCAAGATCAGCTCGAGGATGGAATCATTCGGGAAAGTGACTCGTCCTATGTCAGCCCGATCGTTATAGTGAAGAAAAGAAATGGTGGTGAACAAGCGGATACTACGTGATAACTACCCGCTTCCGCGTCTACAGGATCAAGTTGATATGCTTTGGCAGAAGCCTTATATTTCTGCACACTTTATGACTCCTGATGGCCTATACAAGTACAAACAACTACCGTTTGGATTTATCAACTCACCGGCGTGCTACCAACGTGCCATAGTCAAAGCATTCAGGCCATTGAAAGACACTATATCACATTTGTTTATATCGACGACATGCTTTGCCCATCACAAATTACCCCAGAAGGTATCGAGCGTCTGCGAGTAGTTTGTTCGGGAGGTCTCAAAGTGCAGTTTTTCAAAACATGCGTTGAATACTTCTGCGTGATGATCGAAAGTGGCACACTGAGACCTAGCCCCCGAAATGTCAACGCTCCCGCTCAAACTGTTGCACCGACGAATATTAAGGGTGTGAGGCAACCTTTAGGCCTAGCTGGATATTTTCGAAGATTTATTCGAAATTTTGCCTGCTTGGCAAGACAGATATCCTCTCTGCTGAGGTAAGGACAGCCCTTCATATGGACATCTGAGTGCGAAACTGTACGTCTAGATTCAATTCATGACAGAATACCCTATATTGAACATTTTCAATCCAGATGCCGAAACAGAGTTACATACAAATGCCAGTGCATTTGGCCTTGGCGCCGAGTGTGAATCACGTTATCACTCGTATGATTTAGAGACATTGGCTATTGTCGAAGCCACCCATTATTTTTGTGTTTGTCTGTATGGGATAAAATTCACGATAATCATGGATTGCAATTTTGTACGAGCCACAGCTTTGAAAGAAAAAACTACATCCTCGTGTAGCAAGGTGGTGGATTGAATTGCAAGATTTTAACTTCGATATTGAGTAAAGAACAGGTTTGAGAATGGCGTATGTCGATCATCTCAGCCGTAATGTGCCACCGCACAGTTCTGGTAACAAACATCACCTAAACAGACGAACCACAAAAATCTATTCGCGAATATCAAACAGATGACGCATTTTGTCAAAGTTTAAAGGGCAAAACATGTTCCGAACCTAGATACAGCATGAGTGACAATATCGTGTATTTGTGTAACCCAAAGGATAAACGTGATCGTTGTTTCCTGCTGGTAGCCGCGCGATTAGACATTTTGCGAATGTATCATGACGAATCATCACACATTGGTGCGGACAAAATGTTATCAAAACTCCGTGAAAAACTAATCTGACCGCGAATGGGTAAAAAAGTTTGCAAAAACTTAGCGAATTGTCGTTCTCGCGTACTAGCAAAGTCATCTTGCGGTAAGAAAAAAGGCCTTTGTCAACAAACCGCTAAACCATCATATAAGAGGCACACGTGGCATATTGATCATGCTGGACCACTAGTGAAATCAAATAAATCCACGCCGATATTGGTGATCATTGATGCTGTTTCAAAATACGTGCGGCTCTGCCCGATCAAGCAGAAAACGACAGACTGTAGAATAACAGCCATTGAGGGTGTATTTCCTGCGCTGGGCACACCAAAACGTATTGAAGCAGACAACAGACAGCTTTTCAGTCAGGAAAATTCAAGAAATTTCTGGCACAGCGAGACGAAGAACTCCACTTGATGGCAACAGTGGTTCCCCGTGGTAACAGCCCAGCAAACATACATTTGCGGTAAACTGAAGGCCCAATACATTGCTCCCATAACTAGATGCTGCGGCAAAATGACTAGCGTTGGTACGGGGCCATCAAGAAAAGGACCCTCTGGCCAACGGTTTTCCGACGGCCAATCAGCCGGCATTCATTCCATTGATGGGCTTTCAAATCCCATACTGTCATATAAGAACGAAGTATAGAAGATGTCTTAACTTTGGATGATAAGATTGCGATCTGATAAGATCTTTATTTTGGAGGTTGACCTCATACATTTTCGTGACTTGATAGCGCTGATGGAACATTCTCCAGGTGTCCTATATCCATTCAGTCGTATTTTTGCAACGGCTATATCGTTGGAATATC